TGTGTGTATGTGTGTGTGTGTGTGTGTGTGTGTGTGTGTCTGTCTTTCTCTCCCTTTCTCTCTCTGTATCTCTTTATCTGCCCCATACATGCAAAAGGCAACAAACAATATCTCCCGATAGATAACAATGACAAGCTGAGAACGGAATCTTTTTCACCTGGGGGTCAAAGAAATGTCATGCAAAGTGGCATTGTCACTGAATGGGTTTAACGCCGCTTTCAACGCTGTATGGTTATTTTAAGAAACAGGACCTCCGGATATAGTGTCCATCTCCGATCTTTCTTTTTAGCTTTTGTAAAATTTTATGGCACTTGCAAGACAAATAGGTCAATGTTAGTGCCGGACATCAGAGGTGTTATTAGAGAGTAAAATACAAAGAAATGAAGGCAGAGAGATAAGGAAGATAGATGTTTTATTGGAAGAAAGAGCAAACCACATCAGAGCACCTGCTAAATACCACAAGGTTATGTAAATTCCAAGAGGTAGAACCAACGAATTTCACGTTTATTTCCAATTTTCTTTGTCAAGTGTCAGGACTGCGGCAGACATTAATTATCATTGTAGCTCACTCCTTCTTACATTGTTGTTGGTCCTTCTGGTCTCCGATATGACCAAATAAAAAGCATGGCCGATACAATGAAATAGAACTAAAAACTAGGTACAGGTAATACATAGAAGCGTTACATATTAATATACAAAAAACAATAACAACCCAGGTTCAGACCGTCCCGTTGTCGATTCAAAGCAGGGTCATCCGCTCCGTGGTCCAACACGGCACCAACTGAACTATATTCTACAGCGGTACGCCCATGCATGGTGTGACTGGGCTGCTTTTGGTTTGGTTTGGATTAGGTGGGGTAATACGCATCAAATTACCATACGATGACGGCTACTTAGAGCAGGGAAAAGACATGGGGTGGTGTGGGGATTTTTTTGTTTGATTTTTGTTTGTTTAGTTTCTGTTTTGATTTTGTTTGTTTAGTTTGTCGTTGTTGTTTTTTTTTGTGTTTTTTTTGGGGGGGGGCGGTTGTTGTTGTTGTTGCTGTTGTTGTTGTTGTTGTTGTTGTTGTTGTTGTTGATGTTGGGTTGTTTGTTTGTTTGTTGTTGTTGTTGTTTTTTTTGGGGGGGGGGGTTGTGCGTGTGTTTTTGTTTTTTCTTTTTGTTTTTTTTTTAGGGGGTGGGGGTAAGTGTTTTACGACGCTCGCAACTGCATAAGGGCATATGAGCGCGCGGGACACAAATTAAACATTTTCAGTTGGTAGCAAATTTTGAATTTTGTCCGGGTGGCGGCCGACGCCTACTCTTATCGATTTTGGGCCACCAAGGGATCCTTAACGTGTGCAGGTTGCAGACGGGACCTCCGAGATTTTTTGCCTTGTCCAAGAAGGTTAAGTGTAGATCTTTCCTACCAGAAGAATAGGGTGTGGATGAAAGACAGCAGTAAGAAGGAGCCAAGGAATAGCAATAGAAAGGTTGCAGAAAGAGTCAGAAGCCCAGAGGAAGGGGCCAGGGAGGTGAGGTGGTGGGGGTACAAAGTGGAGACGAAAGCAGACCACAGAACATTGCCAGAGAGCAGGCAAGGAGGTGAAAGGATACAATTTTAGAGAAGAAAATGTTTCCGTCGCTACCTGGATTCGAACTAGGGACCTTTGAATGAGAGGCAAACACCTTAACATGTAGACCACGAGAGCCGACATGGTGGGGGGTGAGCTACCAGTAGTGTCATGCAGCAAGCTACCCCCTTTACTATTTTGCATGGACGTTTCGAAGATGGCGCGTTTTTGGGTTTTTTGAGAGACGGTTATGCAAAGCTGCTCAACATTAGGACTGGCCAAGATTCAGAAAAATTAAATGCCATGACAATGACAATGACAATCTTTATTCATCTCGCAGGGAGAAATTTGTCTCGGTCGTACACGTTTAATGCCTTAAATACTCCCATTCAATATCCAACACTGGGACAACGCAATTTTCACAAAAATTTAAGAGTAAAGTTAAACGCCCCGATCAACACTATTAGGTTATTTGAGAGGCGGAAACTCCAAGTTTAACGTCCATCCCCGAAAGCACCAAGCCAAATAGGACATTCAGGAGAAGTTCCTTTCTCAAGGACATAACGTCGGACCGAGATGAGGCTCGAACCGTCAAGATTGAAAGAGTCCTTAATCTACTCCAAAAGTTACGTTGCACTCTTAGAGAAGTAATCAAACTCGGGATCTCCAGACTGCTAGCCGAGAGTCTCAAAAACTAGGATACACAAAGCCGAGTTCATGTTGGGGCGCATTATTCTAAAAATAAATAGATTCTAGTTTTTAAAATCCAATTCACAGGGCAAAGGTCAAAAGATGCAACCACCGGAAAAACAAAGACAAACATCAAAACAAAACATGACAAACGGACAGGGACAGGAGAGAGATAGCGAAGAAACAGGACTTTCAATGACCTCCTCCTCCAACCACCCACACACCATGCTGAGCCGCGGTCTAAAGATCACTTTATCCAAATCCCAAAATAAGAAGAAGAAGAAGAAAACGATGCTTGAACATTATCATCGTTGTCCTCAAGAGGCGCTCCATAACTCCGTGGTTTCCGGGATATTTGTCATACATAGGACCACCTTACGTAACTCACTGGCAGGATATGTATATATATATATATATATATATAAACCATTGCGTCATGTGGGACCAGGAGACTAGGAGTGGATTGGAGCAGACGATTGAACAGACTACAGAACCAGAAGATAGAAGGAAGCAACAGAATTAGATGTTTGAAAAGACTACAGGGCCAGAAGATAGAAGGAAGCAACAGAATTAGATGTTTGAAAAGACTACAGGGTCAGAAGATAGAAGGAGGCAACAGAATTAGATGTTTCAACAGGCTATAAAACCAGAAGATAGAGGGCAGCAACAGAATTAGATGCTTGAACAGACAACAGAACCAAAAAATAGAAGGAAGCAACAGAATTAGATGTTGAAAAGACTACAGGGTCAGAAGATAGAAGGAGGCAACAGAATTAGATGACAGAAGAGACTACAGAACCAGATAGAAAGAGACAAAAGAATTAGACGATTGAAAGAAACTGCAGGAATAGACTACACATTTCAGGCTTGGTGTTGGGACAGACGACTGAAGGAGACGGAAGAATCAGACGATTAAAGGAGATAGTAAATAAATTAGAAAATTATTAATAAATATCACTTATAAAGCGCATTTCCTCACTAAAAAGCAAGCTTTAATGCGCTGTAAGATCTAGTATCTATACTATTATGACAGCAGATCCTTGAAGAATCAGAAGAATTCTCGGCTTCTCCTGAAGTATATCGTGCAAGTAGCCTATTAAGCGCACAAACACTAACAAACTGACACGATCTGCGGAATCAGAAGACTGAAGGAGACATCACAGAATCAGACGAGGACAACCACCAAGAGACCAGTCTACGCCTTCTCCCTACCCTCCCTCCCTCCCTCCCTCCCTCTCTCATCGGTGTTGACATAGACACACGGACATTCTCCCGTGGACTAGGATTTCAAGAACTCTTGTCAAAACATTCGTCCAGGTAAGTGCACAAAAATCAACCCTCTATGTTTTTACAGTAATTCAATATTGTTATTGTGTCATAGTTCCCCCCTGACTGCATGCACCATTCCGACCCCATCCCCGTTCCAACCAAAATTTTGATTAAAAAAAAAAAATAGTTTAAAGAAAAAAGTGTACTCCGACCAAAGTTCAAACGTGACCAAACGAACAATGGGCAGAATAAAAAGCAAAAAAATCGAAAAAAGTACATTTCGC